TATAAATGTCTTAACACAATAACTAAGAAAAAGACATGAAGGCTATGTTAACCAGTTGGAGGAAAGTATTTCAAATTGTATATAGAAATAGTACACTGTATCCCATGATAGTATTCATGTACACTGCTATGATTTAATTAAAAAAAAGAAAAAAAATACTGTTTTTCTGTTTCATTTGTTATAATCTCTAATTCTGAGCCACTAATTCCTATGTATTAAATTGTCTTTAATTCCTTTTCCATTAGATTTTCTTTAATAATGTCCTAATTTTTCTGTTTTTGTTGTGATTACTTTAGATCTTATACTCATTGTATTTTTAAACAATTATGTTTTGTACTTTCAGTGTCTAATTTTTTTATAATAATTATGATATTTTCCAATGTTTGTTTTTGTACCTAAGTTTTGACATCTCCTTTTTCATTAATTTTTTATATTTAATCTTTTATCTTTGAGCTCTTGATTTATTAAATTCATATTCTTAGTAAATCATTCTGTTGCATGATAAACTAGTATAGAATTTATATATTTTGTATTTTTTCATTTATATTGCTAGGTTATTTGTTCTACATGCTGTGTCCCTTTTGCCCTCTTTTTCTTTTTTTGCTGCAATTATCAAGCCAGTTTTTCTCATTTTGCTGATGCTTCATACAGGCATCTATATTTAGACCATCTGTATATTCTGATAATATATTTAAAATTTTCTATTTATTATTGTGATAAATATTACATCTTTACTTGTTCTTTCTGTTTTCCTTATTTGAGAGTTTCTGTGATTCTGTTTCCCTTTGTTCTGAGCACAATGAGTAGCAATCAGTTAGATAAAATAGGGGAATATTAGAATTTTACAAAGAGGAGGGATTATCTATAATAGCAAGGCATAGGCAAGAGCATGACTTGTTTATAGGTTTCATAAAGTTTAGTTATGCAGAGAGGGGCAGGAACTTATCATCATGACCATGAGGAATCATGACATACTCAAAATCTGAGAGTTCCATAAGTCAGATTTGCTGTGGAGGAGACTCCCTCTCAGAAATGTGTAGAAACTGGAAGGAGGTGAGACAAGAAGCAAGGAGACCAGATAAGCAGCTTCTGTGATAAATCAGGCTGGAAAGAATGAATGTAGAGTCTGCCCATGGAAATAAGAGATAATTACTATTAGGAGAGGTATCCAGGAGGTAGAGTGGATTACTCATAGTGACTCATCAAGTATGGAGGTTGGACAGAGCACAGAACCTACAAATTAGGTCTCTGGCTTGGCTGATGTAGTTGACAGCAATGCCATTTATCAAGACTGGGATTACTTGAGAAGGGGGAAGGTGAAGGGAACCAGCCCTTGCTGGTCACTGTGTGAGGCTCCTTATCAACATCATGTTGCTTAATCTTTACAATACTCCTATTCAGGTATAAACTCCTCAGCTACTTGGATTTTGCTGTTAAGTAGATAGTGATGAGAACCACTGATAGCAGGGAGAGATCAGTACTTCAATATGTGAAGTACGGATGCCTGGAGACCTCCAGGTAGAGATGTTTAGTGGACAGGAAGTGTCAGGAGTTCAGAGGGGATGTCTGGGTCGGGGGTGAGAATAGAAGAGCCAAAGCCCAGTGGCTGACACTCTGGAAAGGAGTAAGATCATCCTATGAAACCTGACTTCTATCTTTGTTCTTCTGTAGTTTTATCTGGATTTTTTTTCTCTTTCTGTTTTCTGAAGTCTTCTGCTTAGAACGGAAACAATTCTTTTCAGGAACAATGATGTATTTTGATCTCAAGATTTCCTTCTACTCATTTTCTTTGGCCTATGGTAGTTTTATAGGCTTATAAAAAAATACATGCCTCTTTCAGACGTTTATTTATTTGTTTGTTTATTTATTTCTTTATTTAGACAGAGTCTCACCCTGCTGCCCAAGCTAGCACTGCCTAGCTCACAGCAACCTCAAACTCCTGGGCTCAAGCAAGTCTTCTATCTCAGCCTCCTGAGTAGCTGGGACTACAGGTGCCCACCACCACACCTGGCTATTTTTTCTATTTTTTGTATAGAAAGGGTCTCACTCTTGCTCTTGCTCAGACTGGTCTTGAACTCCTGGTCTTAGCTGATCTTCCTGTCTCAGCCTCCCAGAGTATAAGGATTACAGGCATGAGCCCAGCCACTTTATATTTTAATAGAAATATATGTTTATATGTGCCCTTCCTTTGCAAGGCCTTAATAGAAAGGCTTAGCTCATGCTTATATTTACTTCATAATGTCTAACATTGAGTTCTGCCCATGGGAAAAATCAATAATTTGTTCATTAAATTGAACAATATAAGTATAAGGTAAAGAAAACCTTAACCATTGCTAATTATACATGTTATTTTATTTGCAACCCCCACCCCCCAGACAGGGCTTTGAGGCAGATAAATAAAATAAATGAAAAATTAAAAATAGCACAATGATGTGCAATATGATACTTAAAGGACAGCCAGCCTCAGGAGACACTGGGTAAGCTGCGGAGAGTGAGCACCACTTACCTTCATGTTTTTCTGACAGCTTGTTAGTAGTGCACCGGTGTTTCACTTTTGTTTTCGTAAAAAAAAGAAAACGTTTCTTTGTTTCGATCCGGACACAGGTTTTGCTTTCTTCCTCTGTTAAACCTAGGAGGTTGAATATAAACAAAATTTGCTGAGAATGCACCAGTAAGAACAGAGAAGAGGAAGCCGAGGCTCTGGTCACTTCTGGAGCCACAGATACTACTGTAGTATATCAGCTCCTTGTTCCCCAATCACCCTAGACCTGAATGATTAACAGTTTTACATACAGATTCCATCCTGCATATAATCTGAGATGGCACACAAAAGAAGGGTATCGGTAAGTCCCACCATCTCCTCCTTCAACGCTGACCCTAAGAAGCCATGTTGAGCTACTGTGGCTCATCTCCTGAGGATCCTGTTGGCCTACCCCTTGTTGTCACTCCAGATGATGGAGCTCTAAGCTGGTCCTTTCTGCTTTGGTTACATGAATTGCTTTTGTACAGTTTGAGTCAAAGTTATAAGTACGCTCATCACCCTGATAGTGTGCAAAAGCTTTTTAGCTTAACCTTGAAATTCAGACTTTCTTCCCTAAGGACTCTTTTCAGTCTCTCTATGTCACTATGTTATTCAAACCTGCACTTGATACTGTCTCCTTTATTGTCAGCAGGGAGGATGACACTGCTTCATTCCTGCTCACTTGAGGTGTGGGAGCTGGGACTTATATATTCTTAGTTTTCTGGCGTTGTTTCCAATGACTGACTCTCTTACTACACACAGTCTTGTAAGTCTTAGAATACTCTGATGCTCTGAGGCATAGGCCACCCAGCTATAACATCTTTAGATCTCGTAATTCTTCTCCTTTACCAATCTCTCATGTATCATTCGTTGAAGACTAGGCACCTCAATCACTCCCATCACAATGATTGTGATCATTGTCAATGACCTCAAAATTGGTATGTGAGTGGAAGAGCACAGGGTAACAAATCTAACAATTTTGTAGTTTTACTTGGTACTACCTGTCTAGGGTAATTTGAGGGGACTTGATGTTTTTGTAACACTTCCCCAGGCCACCTAATTCATTGCTGGAAACACCAAAGCCAGTATCTTCTATCTTTTGATGTTTAGTTAAAATTTGTCTTGGAAAATACAAGCCCATGAGAGCTAGAGCTGTTATATCAGCACTTAAGAAATTAAAGCAAATTAGATTATCAAATACTGGTATTTAGAGTTGCGGGTTATAGTAAGCAGAGATGGGTATGTTCAGACCTTCAGGCACTGCTTGGGCGGGATGCTGATATTGAAACCTAATGGCACAGATCACTGAGAAATGAGGCTGAGTAGATACAAACTGGGTCTGCTTATGCCATGGGCTTTTTTTTTTTTTTTTTTGACATTTGACACATTTGAAGAGATGTATTATTATTTGGAGGTAGAAAATTCTTGGTTTGAAGCCCTCATGTTTACCTGGCATCTTCAACTCTAACAAAAGTGATGGCTGTTTCTATCTGGCCCAATAAACACAGTTCATTTTTCTTCTGGTAGCCTTGTTTTTATGAGTGGGTCAGCCAAGCTTGTCGGTCATGCTAGAAATGTGATGTGTCTATAGTGCATGACTCTTATTTTTTCTCTACTTTTTAATTAGATTTTATTATTTGTAGGTGAAAATTAACTTGCATGTGCCAAGTTGATTCACTATGCTATAATTCTATATTCACTATAATTCACTTATTTTCATTTTATGAGGGTCATAGGTGAATCCGTGAAGATTGGAATAATGAGCCTTTTGGACGGCATTGGACATGTAGTGACTAAAATACCAGGACTTTATCAATAATTTTTTTCTTACTGCAGTATGCCTGGTGAATGCTGCCCGACCTCTACCTATGTTAACCAAGCAGCTGCTCCATGCTACATCATCTTTCTCTGAAACCTGTGTGTCCCTCTTCTGTGGCACAGGGATGAGTATTTTAGTAATTCCTCCCCACTCCGACTGAACCAAAATCAATATAGTTAAAAAGATCTTATTAATAAATAGTGGGGTGGACAAATTTTTACCTCCAATTTCAAGCAGAAGATGATGTCTCAACAAAAGGAGTTGAAAATTAACATCTTGCCTATTATGCAGTTTTGTGGTTAAATGTTTTCACTGCATGTACGAAATTATTTTCACCTTGCACACTGAAACAATGTCAACTTTTATTCAAGGTTTTAACTTGACTATAGGATGCTGAACAATGGAGGAATAAATCGAAGGATGAGAACAAAAAATAATTGAATTGAATTGAATTCTTCTGGAGAAAAAGCAAGTCCTATGAAATAGTCATTTTTCCAATATAAATGATGAGATATAATTCTTACTGAATAAAGTATAGCACAAATTAAATCTCTACCCTAGTTTCATGTTATAATGAGAGAGGGAATAGAAAGAGATACAAGGGAGAAGACCAGAATACATACTCATCTAGAGACTGGGCAAAGCAGGCAAACATGGGAAACTTCCATTTTATTGAGAATTTGTTTTTGTCTGACTATGCTTCATTTTAATGATAATTAAAATTTTATAACAATATTATTATTATGACTAGGAGAAATATATATAAAATATAGGAATATTGAATGTAATATATGTCTTATTGACTACATTGGCTATACACACATATCTACATACATTCACACTATAAATACTTACATATAGTATGTATGTATTTACATATAGCATGTGTGTAGATACACATGGGTATTCATTTCCGGTTTCCTGTCACATCTCTAACTCCCTTTCTTGCCTTCATTATATGTATCTGTTTGTCAGTCTCTGTCTCTATTTGTAGAAAAAGAGGAGGAAGGTGACAGTGGTTTAGCAGGAAGTGGAGCTTATCTTTCTTCGTTTTGGTCATGGGCCTTCAACTGTTGAAAGGCTGGATGGTTGATTTTGATTAAAGAGTCACCCAGTTCTTTCTTTCTTTCTTTTTTTTTAATTGAATAATTCTTTCCTTTTTTTTCATCCAGTTCTTTAACTGACCCAGTTTCTAGGCATTTAGAGGTTTTGTTCTGAATGTATGATGAGTATACTCAGTGAGAAATTATCGTCTGGAAACTAGTAGCAGGGACCAGAATAATTTTATCTGAAAGATGAGCTGAAAGCAAGTCAAGGGCCAAAGATTTTCCCCAACCATTTTTGCTTAGCGTTAGTGTTGATGCCATTTATAACTGGAAGGGAACGTAAGGGGCAGGTGGGAAAGCTTTAGTACAGCTCAAAACTTTCAGATGTTAGTAAACATGTGAGATAAAAGTTTTATAAGTCCTTCTTATTGAAAACCCTTGTGAAAGATATTTATCCCATCTCCTCTGTTAGGGAGCAGACCACAAGGCACATTTGATCCCTTAAGATCTGGAAGACTCAGAGCAGCCATTTGAAATATTAGTGTTTGCCATAATGAGGTGTTAAGAACAGAGGGACTGAAAATCTATTCACCCCAAAGCTGGCCTGATGTTGTAATTTTAAAAAGTTCCTGTTACTTCTTATAAAAGTTTGATGATGAAAAATTCTGATTTATTTGGGGGGACTGATGAGTTCACTTCTGGTTACCATACCATTTCCTAACCTTGTTCTCCAGAAATACCTGCCTCAAGGAGCCTGTGTCATTTTACACAGATGCCTGAAATATAAATTTTCCAAAGGTGTTTAGGCTGCAATAATAATTAATATTAGCAATTTAAGATAATTCTTAAGGAAACCAACATGTGTGGCTTATCTTGCTATTTTATAGGCAAGTAGAAATATATCTGCTTTATATGTGAAGATACAAAGTTATAACCTTCCTTCCAATAAAAGCGCTTTGCCTTTGTTTTTAAGTTTCATCACCAGTAGGTGCAGATCTGGTCCATGTTAACATAGTCCCTTGGCAAGTCCTAATTTAGGACTAATTTTCAGTTTAGACACTTAGATTTTAGTCAAAATTATTAAAAGAAATATATTTCTACTGAATTTGCCATAAATTATTGCTATAAAATTACCCCCTGTACATAGACTTTAAGTATGTTATCTTTTATTGATAGAATTTAGTGCCAGGGCAAACTTTTGTTTCCCTTGAGGTACTGGCATGCATCTCTTTGGGGTAACCATTACTATGTAGCTTCTGATGTTCCCAGATGTCAGGAAATTCACAGCAAACATGATGCCTGATCACAGAGGTTAAGCATGCTTCTTTTTGTCTTAATTTTTAATTTTAATTTTATTTATTTGAGTGTGTATGTGTTTGCTTATTCTTTATATCCCTGTGGAAACAAAGTAGGATCTAAATAAAGCCAACTAAAAATAATAAAAATGATAGAGTAAGAGAAAAATGCATTGCATGCTGTCATCATCAGTTACAAAGAGTGAGGGCTGCAGAAAGCATACCTGAGTTCTGTAGTTCCTCCCTGCTAAACTGATAGAGGAGGTCATATGTGCCCCCCAGAGAGCCAGAGGTGAAGTAGTGAGTCCCGAAGTCATCGAATATTCGACTATACAAAGCATAGTTGTATTCTAGAGGCAGATGGTTCAGTGCTTTCAAAAAAACATCAGAAAGCCGCAGATCATTAGATTTCATTGTGAAGTTTAAGACTTTTATCACTTTATGGATCCTAATAAAATTAGAATCCTAAATGGAAGAAGAGAAAAGAGTTTAAAGAGTTAAAGGTATCAAGTATTTAACTGTCATTGATTAATCATTAGCTTCCCTCCTCCCATAGTATTATAATAACTTTAACTCTCTACTGTGTGTTCTCACATACAAAGTTGTAATTTTCATCTTACTTTTCAGTATAGATGTTCAAGGTACTAAACGGATAAGACGGTGCGACTGAAGCATATGTTCTGTATAAAAGAAAAGATCAACTACCAGAAAAGTTGATCTTTCCCTCTTGTTCGCCAGTTATGACTGCACTCCTACTAAGTTTTATTTAGGATGCTTGGTAATGCAAATGATTGGAAAAGGATTGTATACATTTGCAACAGGAAGTTGTGCAACTGAGATTTAAATAGCACGTTTGTCATTAACTGAATAAAGCATTTCAATTTCTTAGACTTTAGCTGTCAAGTGATAGGATGACAACTGTGTACCAAGTGATATTTCACACCTTCTTCAACTCCAAAATGCTATGATTCTAAATTACTTACGGGGTAAAATTAAACAACATTGTTCATATTCTCTCTTTTACTCATATGTAGAAATATATGAATTATTTGTTTGCAAACTTACTTGTTTACCATTTCTTATTATGTCAGTTTAATTTAGGGTTTGGTGCTTGCCATTATGCTTAAAATGTCCTTCTCCATGGCCACTGAGGTTTATCCTCAGTGTATCCATTATACTGTTTTTAAAAATTTATATGCTTTAACTGATTGCTCAGTTTTAACAAATTGTAGTGTTTGAATAATAGTAACAGAAGGAGGGTGATATTTTAGCAAAAGAATTTTGTTGTAATGTTTATTATTGAGTAGTCATCTTCTTATACACTATAATTATGGTACTAAATGACTGTTAATACAAAAGAAAAAAATCACGAGGATCAGAAAAGAATCAGTATTCATCTTCCTTCTCCTCTCTTTTTCTTCCCTCTCCCCCTCCATGCTTCCTACTTTCTTGCCTTCAATACTTCATTGCTCAGCCCTCTCAGATGCTGCAGGCAGAGAAGTGTTCAAGGTGGACAAAGTTTGTGCCTTTGCAGAGCTTCTTTTCCTAGGTGTCTATCATTTCCAATTTTAAATTTAATCCTTGGATTTTGTTATAGAATCTTGAAAGTTGGAAGACCTTTGTGCTTTTAGTAAGTTGTTTCCTGAGTATCTGAAATACCTAGTCTCAGAGGTTCAAAATTCCAGCTTGTTTAAAGACTATATCATGAAAACCACAAGTTACATTTTGGTAGTGCAAGTTAGCTGAAGAACTTCCACAGTGCTCTGCTTGCGAGCATATAATGGCTGGAAACAGATACTTAAGACTAAAAAATTACAATTGGTTATTAAACCATATATAATCTATTTCAGCAATTTGTGAGGTCTTTATTTTAATCACATTTTTATGGTTTCAGTTTTGTAAAGTATATCAGAGAAGTGCTGAATCTTACTGAGTTAACTCTTATTTTGTTTTGAAACAGACTATTTGCCCAACAAATGTCTACTCAGATCTGTGATTGACAAAATAAATAAAGCATTAAGCTCTACTGAAAGGCTTGCATTGATTTTCCAATTTTGTAGTATCTTGTTTCCCTACTTGAAGTCTAGGAGAGATTGTAGTACCATTTTCTATTTAGACTAAGATTTCTTTAATTCTGTTCAGACCTAATTAAAGACAACAGTCATGATGTTGGGTTGAACCATATGAGGCTGATAATTTTGTAAATCAAAAATGGTTGAATAATAGCAGTTTCATATGTTCCAAATTGATACTATGAATAGCCCCAAATGTTTACAATGTAGGGCAGACTATCTGCTGCTTATCTACAAATAAGGGTTTAACAATATGTTTGAAATATTTATAAAGCCATTATGTGAAGCAAGTTTTAATGTCAAGACTGATAACATTATCTATGTCTCATTCTAAGATCTCCCTCTTCATCTCATCTTTGACTGTATTTTAAAGCAGTTATTTTCAATCCTGGATACTATATCAGAGCAAGCGGGGGAGTTAAAAAAAAAAAAGGCAGATTCACATCACAAGTCCAACCCCAGATATTCTGAATCTATAAATTAAATGAAAGACCTGGAGATGGGTATTTTTACTACCTAGAAATTCTGATACCAACTTGATTTAGGAATATAATTAGTAAGTTCAGAGGACACTATGAGATTTGTAGCCCCCTCAAAACTAAAGTAACAAAGTAAGTCATAAAAAGAATCTATTTTATTCTGATCTTTTTGCATGTGCATATTGCCAGAACTGTATTCTTTCCATAGTTTGTTGGTGTTCTGAATAAATAAATGAAAACAAAAAGATTCAGACAGTTTGAAGTATAATGTAGTAGATAAGAATTGTGTACAAAAATCAGACCACCTGATTTCAATTCCCAGATCTGGCATTTACTCACTGTAACAACAATGAAAGTCACTTAGCTTCTTGGACTTCAGTGTAGTGCCTGCCACATGGTATCTGATAAATGTTTATTGAATTAAAAATAAGTGTATGTACTTCAGTGCATTCATCTGCAAAATGGTGTTAAAATGCTTATTCTAAATGCCATTCTAAAATGGTTACCTTTTAGGGCTTTTCTAAGGATAAATGAAATGTTTAGAAAAGTTATAGAAGGGCATGAATAAATAAATAAATACGAATAGGAAAGGCAGTGTGGTAAAGGCAGAAGGAGAGGCAAAATGGTGCCCTCAGACTGCTGGTCCCACTGGCTCTGGTGCTGCTGCCTCAGCCTCCTCTTTGTCTCCTCCCTCACAAGTTTTGTTACTCAAGTCTCATTCTCCCCCATGAAACTCTTGGGAAAGAACAAACACTTCTTAGAGTGGTGGTTGTAGTGAGAAATAGACACCATTCTAGAAGACCTTTGCAAATGTCTAAAAATTTATAATAGAAATCTATCTCTTAAATAATTTAAGAGTGGGAAGACATATCCAAAATTTTTAATGTGAAAATAACGAGATAAGAAAGGAACATATGAAGAAAGATTAACAGATAAAGTTATATCTTCACACAGGGAAAGGGTTCCATAAGTTCTTGGCAAGATTAATAGGAAAAGTCAATACTTAGACATACCCTAAATTCCCAGTGTAAAAGAAAATTATCAAAAATTTTCAGACAGGGAAACCAAAATAAAAAATCAACTCTGAGTGTGATTTTTCTTATGCAATAATGAAAATTAGAAGACATTAACAAAATATTGACTATCAAGAGACCAGGACTATGATGTAACCAAGATATTCTTTATCTTTATTGCTCAGGGAAGAGGTAGGCAATTTAGATATACAAGGATTGAGGGAATATACCTTGTGTACATCCTATCTGAGGAAAATACTAAAGAAAATGACAGCAATGAATGAGAACAAGGATCTCAAAAAAGAGAAGATGAGAGGAAGGAAAACGCTGATAGTTAAATGTGTATGTGTACATCTCTGTGTGTGTTTGTATGTGACATACATAAAATATAACATAAGTATAAAATATATACTATGAAATTTGAAATTACAAGTGTTAAGTGAGGAATCTTAAAAAGTAGAAAACAGTCATAAGAAAATACAAACTACCATATAGGTATATGATACAAAAACAAATATAGAATAATCTCTAAGCAAAGCTTGAAACACAAAGGTTTTTAACTGTCTCACTAAAACTGGTGTTAGAAGCTCATTATGGGCTCGGCGCCTATAGCTCAACCGGCTAAGGCGCCAGCCACGTACACCTAAGGTGGCGGGTTCGAATCCCCAGCCCGGACCCG